CCCGTGAGGCTCAAAATAGCTCCCGTAAATTTTTGACGAGAGCTATTTTTTTGAACAGCTTTCGAGACAGACTTTTAAAAAAGAGCTCCGTGAAAAAAAGTAATTTTTCCCCTGATTGCAACATCGGCTAGCTAGTGCCTGATGACGGAAATTTGCAGGAGTAAGATATTTCTATGCAATAAGTGTTATAACATGTTCTCAATTTCTAGAGTACTAGTCCGCTTTAAGTCCAGATATGATATCAGTATTACGTCGAGTTTCATCTTCTTCATTAACGGTAGGTGTGATTTCCTACAATCCTGCTGACTCAAAGTCAATTTAATCTGTTAATCTGGCTAATTAATGCTAATTGGTCGCGCAGCTGATGTGATTTACATTTTTGCTCTTCAGGCAGAGGAGAACGTTGGCATGGTGATGGTGTTTACTCTCGTATCAGCTCTTCAAGACCTCCTCCACGAGAGAATCGAGAAAAAGAAGGAGGAGGAGGAGCAGATACGGTCGCGGAAGAAGGAGCAAGAGGAGGCTGCCGAAATGGTAGGGGCAACCGCGGACGTCCTCACAACGGCCGTAATTAATAAAATAATTAAATACAATTATGTTAGCGGTCTTTGGTTACTATTAGTGTTGGAGATCGGTCCAAATTTCATGATTGATCATCGGTTTTACAAAACGATCGATGATCGATTAATCATCGATCATTTTAGATTGCGGCGACGACGCGGTGACGCCGCGTCATCGTCGACACAACCGGTGTATTGCGAAGGAATATTGACATTATTGTATGTGTACTGTTAGGGTTACGGACGGGTAACACTCTAAAGGGCATTGCAGCATAAATGTTCATCAAATTCAATCCAAAAAAATAAAAAATTTGAGTTGTACTCGGTCGTCCGATTTCCTACTCGATTAATCAACTCGGCAGCCCAAACGAGTAATGATCGACGAACTCGATTAATCGGAACACCACTAGTTACTATCTTGTGTATTTTACCGTTAGGTGGCGCTAGAGCCAGTTTACATTTTTGCCGTTATTTTAAGGTTATTATCTTTTGTATTTTACCAGTAGATGGCACTGGACTAGATAACGATGTTGTTGCTAGAGTTTTAGATTACTGCCCTGTGTATTTCACCGTTAGACGGAGATTGTGCATGTACTTTTGCAGTAATTTTAGTTTACTCTGCTCTGTATTTCGCCAGCAGATGACGTTTTCGTTCGTATTTCGTATATGTAATGTTATGGACATTAATTGAGTATACCTGTTGTCGTGCTGCAGCCAAAACCCAGTAAAGTACAGCTGTTCTTGTGTTTCAGTTGCCGTTATAGATGAGTGGGCGTACGAACTCCAGTAAAGTAATAGCTGCTCTTTTGTTTTAGTTGCCGTTCGAGATGAGTGAGCGTACGAACTCCAGTAAAGTAATAGCTGCTCTTTTGTTTCAGTTGCCGTTCGAGATGAGTGAGCGTACGAACTCCAGTAAAGTAATAGCTGCTCTTTTGTTTCAGGCGAGGTTTGAGGGAACGCGCGTCAACATCGAGACGTTTATGTCGTGGAAGCAGAAGTTTGACGAGGAACGGCGGCTGCAGAAAGAGAAAAAGGTCGATACAACCATCAAGCTCGGAAAACTAACGGGTGGGTGAGCGACGCAGGGGTCATGCAAAGGTCACCCGGCAGCCGCGCGAACGGGAAACGTTGCCGTAGATTTTAATTTTTCTAATTTTTTTAATTTTTCACGTTTTAAGTTGAAGTACGATCGAATTGCATCGCACTGCCACATCTGCTTCATATTCTCCAGAAATATTGTTCTGATCTTATCACACAATTAGTTAACTGCATACATGTGCTAGTTCAATGTTTACTGTTAATATTTTTCCAAAACAATTTAAACTGTTGATGATCGTCTGATTATGAAAATCTTTATATTCTCTCTCTCTCTCTCCCTCTCTCTCTCTCTCTCTCTCTCTCTCTCTCTCTCTCTC